ACTTACATCAGGATAAAAGCAAATGTAATGTTTCCATGAGTCGTTTAGTATACTACATAATACTTTAAAACAACGAACAATTGGATCATCTAATAAACAAGATTACTGTTTGGTATACTATAAACTTTTTTCCTACCTGTTAAAAATTTATCATTAGAACAAATTTTATTAGAAAGCAAATTCATTTTTTCTTTAACAGAATGATCCAAATCTACACCTGTTAATAATTTAACATCTGTCAACATCTAAAATGAAAATGTGATACTGAAAGTCTTGCAATTTTTTTTTACCATAGATGGATTTAAATAAACAGGAAAACGTTCCATAATATCTGCAGTTGTGTTTTCCTTGATAAAATTTTGTCGATAATCAAAAGTTTCAAGCCACAACCGTTGATAATGTTGATCATCAATTGATTTACTTTTGAAAATTTGTTTTAAGTATTTCAGCTTTTTCTTCCATTTGTTGTATTTCATTAGGTGTATCTTGAATGATTGATGTCTAGGAAAATAAAAACATACATATCCTTTTGGCTGTTTTTAGTGTAACTTACTTTTTTTTGATGTGTTTCTTTCTGATAATTGTGTTGTTGAATATTTTTTGATTTTTCTTCCGGACTTTTCTCTTGAATATCTAAGCTTCATTTCGATTGTTTTTTCTTCATCGAAATTTTGTCTCTCTCATTTGTATTTGGAAATGAGAGATTCTCGCCATGAATTCTAAAATATCAATGATTATAATATTGATAGGATTATTTTTCAGATTTACTTACAGATGTTTTTGGATCACGTTCAATCTTCAAATGATTAAGTATTCCATTAACAATTGTTGTATATTGTTCTCGTGTCGGATATCTATGTAGAAAAAAAATATGTAGATGAATTCATTTATTAACATTCCAATTTTAAAAGTTTAAAACTTAATAAGAAACAAATGTATTTAATATGTTAAAATCTTCTTTATATTTTCCTATACAGTCTATTGGGTTTTGTTATTTTAACATAATGACTCGTCTCTAGATTTATAGAAAACTCCCCAATAAATAAAAAAAGAACTTAAATAAGACAATAAAATATTATACTTACATCAAACCATAATTTGTTTTCAAATCATGAAAAACAGCATCTATAATAATTGAACGAAAGTTGCAAAGTTTTTCAAATTTTTCCATTTGTTTAAGATTAATTGCATCGTTGACTTGACTCGGTAACACTGGTAATAAATAAGGATCTGGAAGAGATTTTTCTGTTCAATTTTCAGTTGTAATAATAGTTTCGATAGATGATACATTTATTGATGCTTCTGCTGATTGATTTTCATGTTCATCATCTTGTTGATTTTCATCTATAATTAATAATGCTGTATCATTTGGTGTTGATGATGATGATGTTGGTTTTTCGTTTGTTTTCGACGAAAATAACTTTTCTCTTTCTTTCAAAAATATAATTTGATTTTTGTACGACAATTTGAATGGTTTCAATAGATTCAAATCGTTCATATAGAACAATGTTTCACCATCAACTTCTTCCTCTACAACAAAAAACAATAAAAATAAAAAGAAGGTTCTGGTTCGACAATTCTCAGATTGTGAAAGTTTAGATCTTAAATCACAGAATTAGATTAAAAAAGAAAAAAAAAGCAGTATGCTTTATATCCTAGAAATGTCAATTTCCTTTTGTTAGTCTTGATGTTAGATTAACAACATGAAAATGATCTACTTTATATAAGTCAAGTCCTTTGTGATAATATTTTAAATTATTTGGTGAAACTATGTCAAGTCGATCATATGAGCTAACTCTGTAGCTCCATAGTTTAGTACTAAATCCATCAGTATTCAGAAGATCTACAACGAATATCCATTCTTGATTTAACTTTAATATATGAACTATTTGAAAAAATAATGGAATTTCTTCTACATGTTCTAAATCATAAACATAAACGGCATGTTGTTTGTAAATAACATGATTATGAATCAGTTGCGAACATTGAAACAATGTTTGTGATTGAATAAATTGTTGTCCATATCGACGAGTGAGAAGAACCTTGATTTTTGAATCTATTTCATACATATGAATTATTTTATTACCACTAGCTGCTTCAAATGCTTTCAAGAATTGACAGTTGGACAATAAAAAGGATTGTCGAAGTTGTTGTCTTTGAGCCAATGTTTTCGGGATATTCTTGAAATTATAAGATTGCATAGCAATTTTTTTGAAATACAAATAAGCACCCTCATATCTCATACATCAATACCTTAGTGGTGGACCATTTTCCTCAATTATTTTTGTATACTCAGTAGCATAATGTACCTTCGGTGTTGCTTTATCTGGCAAAAGCTCTAACATCATACACGGAAAATTTATTGATAATGTTTCAAGATAAGGAAGCCAACTTTTTCGTTGAGGCAAAGCTAATATTATATCCAACATTTCACGCAAAATGAGGTAAATTTTAAATGATTTTAAATGCTCGATCATATCAGAAAAGATGATTGGGAACAATCGAAACAGACAGAATTTTTGAGCTGCACTTCCAGTAATACGATCATTGTTTAGATGTTTAACTTGTATAGAAGGAGGTTTATTTGATGCATCTAATTCACCATAAGAAAAATTTTCTGTTTTCTCTTGAATAGCAGCAAAAGTAATCAGCTTTAAATTTGATGCTTCCTTTAACATCGCCATGATAATGATCGGACATACACCTAAAAAAAAAGAAAAAAAATCAATCTACAAGCAAAATTTTATCTTATGAATAGTGACCTTCGAAATAATCGTGCATCACATCGCCCGGAAGAGAAGCAGTTGTGTCAAAACTTATTAAATTATCAAGTGGACTTGGACCAATAACACCATACATTGATTTTATGTGTGGATTATTTTCAAGTAATTGTAAACATTTTGTATGTTGAAGATGTGTTTGTTGAATGAAGTGAATATCGGTTAATGGTATAAGTCGATTTTCATAGGTTATTAAACATCTCCTACAAAAATATCCGGAACTGAATGTTTGTTGCATACCAGCGATTTCATGTGCTGCTAAATTATCAGCAGCAATTGTCGTAAATGTAAAATGTAATTGACTGTTAAATGTAACAAATAGCTGCAAGATTAATACATTGTAACGTAGATCGAAAGATATTCGGTATATCTTCTAACATGAAGTATACAAGTGTCAATTTGTGTTGGTCCTTCTTCGGACCTATCGGATTTGTGACACCGATGCCATCGACATATAATTGAATTAAAAATGATTGATTTTTAAATATTTTACCTTTAACACCGTCCCGTCTTGAAAACATTAAATCTGGATCATTATGTGTTATTGAAGTTTGATGTTGAATATTATCAATTAGAAGTGGTATCATTTCATCTTTTTGTAAAATTTTCTCTAAAGTGTTTCGTATAGGTATATGATATGAATATTCTTTTTTCAAATGATTTGATGATAAAACATTTTCTATAGGTGGTGAATAATTGAAAAACTTTTGACAAGATTGTATAAATTGATATTCATTTCGAGTTGAGAGAATAATTGATTGTTCTATCTGTTTTACTGTTTTGCGCATTCCATCAACAGAAATAGTTGTTGTTGATTGTTGTTGAGTCATATTTTCTTGTTTTGCTTGTTCTTCTACAAGCTCAACTACGCTATCTAGTAAATTGATTATATGTGTTGTAATGGATTGAATCACTGTTTGAGGCAAAATGTGTTTTTCTCTCATTTCAAGTAAAAATCGGATGAATTGTTGTTGAACTGTAAGAAGATTTATTTTTTCATCTTTACTAGAAATATTTGTTGTTAGAGTGTTCCATTGATTATCAAGATCGTCATCAAAATCTGCATATATAACATTGTCATGATTATTATCAGCTGTATCTGGATATATAACTGTTGCATCAGGTTGCTGAATTGCTAATGTATCCATATCATTAATAACGGCATTTTCTTGTTGTTGACATACTGGATGAAGTAAATTTTCATGATGCCGATGAATGTGCTTTTTGTATGACGTAAATGTTTTATACATAACACCACAAGAGTCTGATATATCACATGTTAATCGAAAATTAGGTTCATTGGCATGATACAATGTAACATGACGAAAATAATCACAAAATTCATTAAATGATCGATTGGTAATGCAAATTTTGCACAAAAAGACTCTAGTGGACATCACTGAGTGATTGAGTTACTTAATCTTACAATAAAGAAACAAAATCATTTAACTAAGTATCACCTAATACGCCGTATACAAAATCAAACAAACTTCTAGATTAAAGGTGTAAGTCAGCTTATACAACGCTAGTTTCCTAGGAGATAGTACCTAGTAAAAAACATCTAAACTATGATAGGTGGAAGAGAGAAAGGATAATAAGATGAAAGAATATTAATAAATCAACCTGAAAAAGAGGTCCATTACATATTTTATAGGACTCACTTTGAAATTCTTTAATTAATTCATCATTTGAAATGAAAGTACGTAGCCAAGTCGCAACATCATCTATTTCCCACGTGAATGGATCAGTAGGATTCATCTATAAAAAAAAGCATTCAAACTATTTTAAATCTTCCATCTTTGAGGTACATATGTATTATTTTATATATATAACATCAAAAGGCTTAGAGATTCAGAAAAATCAATTTTATTGTCGAATAGCATTCAAAACGTTTCCTTATAGCGTGTTTGAATGATATGAAAGTGATTTGAACGTCGTATGCACAAACTAAAAGATGAACAGGGTTATTAGGAAATCATGTGAACATGTTTTGATCTATTTTCAATCAGCTTCGCTCGTGTCACCAAACGTTATTTTTCTGGATCCGTCCCAACCCGTGCTTTTGGCTGATACCCTCTGCCCTGGTTAATCATCTAAAAAACGTCTCGATTTCTTTCAAAGCAATCTTTTTCATATTGATTGTTTTCCTTATTATCTGTATTTTCAAGGCTAGTTTATTTTAAAAATCAGATGTTTGTGAACTTAAACGAAGTGAAGTGTTCGAAGTTTAACATTACAACTAAACATTGAAGTAGATGAGTAAACATCCTCAAACTTTGCTTTTAACTTTCATTTAAACTTTGGTTGATATCAATGCGTTCTGAGAGCATTTAGATAGGTACATTTAATAATCACGAGCATTTGAGATTTGATATTTCTTTTTTATCCATTCCATGATGACTGTGCAAGAGTGCACCTAGAAACAGTTTGTGCTTATTAACTTGTTTGAGCATTTTTTATCGTGGCCAATAGTTATCATTACTTAATCTCTTGATTCAGTACCATATGAATAAGAAAATTATCTTGGGCTTCTTTTCGAAAATCTAAAGAATAGTCGAGAATTTTAACAAGAAACTGTTATATAAACGAAATGTTATAGACAACATCAGAGAAAATACAAATAATCGCTTATATTAATTTTTTTTGTTTTTAATGAAAATTGTTATTAAATGAGGCGAAATAAACAATTATTATCTCAAACTTGGATAACTTTCAGCCAACCGAAATGTGAAGACGACACAATCAATTCAATATAAAGTAAACAATATTACAACACAAATGCACTGTTACGAATCTATACATTAGAGGCTTAAACTTTCATTTTTATTAGATTATACCACGTAAGCAGAGAAAACACTGGAAAAAAAGAAAGGCAGATATCATAGAATGATGATTCATTGTTCTCTTGACAAATATGTGGACAAAATTGTTGCAATCACATGTGGATGACAATGATATCATCACCTCGTTTTCGCTTAAAACTAATTTTTTTGAATGATTTGAAGTTCATCGATACTATCTTCTTGTAGATTAGTCAGTTAGAATAACTTTACAATGACAAATATTTCTAGTGTTCTTACTCTCTCTCACCTTTTGTGGATTCCAATTCCTAAACTTAGTCGGCGTTTTTATTAGAATTTTATCAAAACAGCAAAGAGAAAAGACACATATTAGAGTTAATGTTGTTATTCAATGGCTTGAGTTTTGTCAAGGCTATGTTTTTCGTCCTATACCAGTAGCCACACTTGAATTGACAATGTAAAAATGATGTTTGATTATTTTGAGAGAATGAAATGAATATGTATAAAAATATGTTGATGTCAAGAAGCAATCATTGATAAGCAAATGCCTTGTGATAAACACATAGTCGCTTCAAGCGTCCTAATAACCGTTAAAATGAAAAAAAAATGAAG